ACATCGTGAGATGAAAGCTCCATGTGACACTCTTTATCTTTATCCAGAGTCAAATAAGTTTTGGCAAAGCAATATGGCCATATCCTGTTCACGATTAGAATCTGTGGTTTTCATTATATTTTCTTCGCAGTCCTTCTTCACTATAACATTTTTCTACCATAATTCTTTTGAGGAAAGTGACCACTGCCTGCTGTTGCTCACCAAGAAACGAGATAAGTATTCTGAAGCATGGGCACGATCTCTTGGGCGTGTTATGGTGCTGGACACAGTGTTCAAAGGCACTGAAATAAGACCAGGAGACTGGTTTTACGCATCTGTCAAGTTAGTTCCGAGTGTTTGGAATTTCCAAAATAGCATTTTAGTGACATTGTTTATTCAGGTTATTTCCCGATTTGTTCAGAGGAGTTGAACCTATATACATGGTCAAGAAAATTGTTGATCTCTCTGCACCTTTGGCATTCACTGAATGCTTCATGAACGAGATCAAGGTACGATTGATGCAGTTCCAGTCATTTCGAAGAAACTTATGTTTGGCAAAGGATCTTGTAATCACAAATGAATCTTGGAAAAGCTTGAACCAGTACGCTAGTACGGTGACAGAACGTGGGGAGGGAAGGGAGTGGGGGCGCCATTGGACCTCGAAAAATTTCAAAGTTTTTTACCGAATTATAAAAGTGCGCAAATGGCTTCTTCATACTTGTGAATAACTAGAACAACCTTGAGACCTTTTTGAAAATTCAAGTCGTCGTTGCAAGAATTTTTTTTCGGAACTTGGCTGCCGTCAGGCTATTTCTTCAGAATATCGCGGTTATAAGCCGCATAGATTTGGGGGCCCTGCATCCCAGAAAAATTTCGATGTGTGAAAATTTTTCACCCTTCCCTCTAACGGAAATCCTGGGATGCCCCTTGCTGATATCGCTAGGAATTATTCTGCTTATCAATAGGCAAAGTTCTCAATCAGGAGAGCATATTTATTATGGGCGCTCGGAAATTTTGATTTTTGTGCTTCTGATGCTGCCTTGTACTTGGCATCTGTCCAAGACCACACCAGAGTGCAAAGAACACTTTTTTTGCACAATCATTCTTCATACACGCATCCGTAAATGAGTAATTAATTTAGACTCAATCCTGCAGGAGTTTTCATTTGTGGAAGTAATTTTCTTAATCTCTGTTCTATGTAGTCCAGGTCATATAACAGATACTAAGTTTTTGAGCTATCAAAATTACGATCACTTTGTCGGAACATTCGAGAAGACATTTTTCGAACCACTATAAAGACCTCGTTCTCAGCTTTGTTTGCCACAACACTGAAAAATGTTTTCATGATTAGTGAGCA